ATCATTTGCGTGGCGTGCAAATGTCGCCACATTGACTTTATCCATCGGAGTTTTCTGATTTTCCAGAGTGAGACGTACCATCCAATAAATTTGACCTCACGCTGGAGTGAAAAGGTTTCTATTGTTCTACGTCTTTCGAGAACTTTCCACTGTTTATATGAATCCCTTTCTAGTGGAATTAATGTCGCACAGGGCGACAATTTGATAATGCTTCTTTTTTTTTACATTTGAAATACTTGATCAGCATCGATGAGTTGTGCGATTACTCATTACTGATGTTTGCGCTTTCTTGAGCCAGCTTATGGCTCAGCGAACGCTCCCGCCTTTTCCTCGACGGTTGCCGTCGCCCTCTATTGCACCCTCCTAGTTGTTCTTTTCTGTAAAGGCGATTATATTACGTTATTATGACATTTATCAAGTCATCATCACACATTTGCAGATAGAATTCAGTTATTACTTTGAACTATATCTAAAATCTATATCATATTTACCAATGAGTCGGTTCTTATCGCTAGTAATGTGCAGCAATTAGATTTGTGTACCTAAGAGTATAGCACATGTTCTTAAAGTTATTCATAACCAGTAAGTTTTGATGACAAGAGATACCATCGGATAGCCTCTTGGAAGCTGTGGTGATGAGCTCGAAATCTCTTTAAGTATCTTGCGTTGTCCTAGCATAGTAGACGTGAGACCTACTTGTTTTGCACAGCCCTTCTAATCGTAGTGTTTTTGACCGCGTCGCCTGCCATAAGGAATAACATCATCTAGAAGCAGGCCACGAATATGGTTAGTTGAACAACGAAGAACGGCAAATATTGTTTCCATGGAACAAACATGAACCATATCTCCTCAGACTACCAATTTCGTCTCAAGACAAGCACATAACTTCTTTCAATGCACATTTAAGTCATAAATACGGCACGATGTGAAACGCTGCCCCAAAAAATTGGCCAGGAATTTTTTTTTCCTTTAATTTCTTCTATAGATAACCTGACATCAGATATTTCGCTGATCCTATCCTTCCATTCGGTTCATCTCACATCCATCATCCTCGAAAGTCTTTGGGTTTGCGTGTGTTTGGCTGTTGCATGAAGATTTTTTTGTTTTCTTTATGAATGTCTTTTCGAGTAGAATCTCTGTGGAGTCTTGGAATACCCGTACTAGGATGTTCCCAGGCCTTCCGCAGGTGGTCGAGTGCCTTTGCGGATTGGAGCAAGGTTCTTAGACAAGTCTGGTTCCGAGTTCTTGACCCTAAAGAGATGGAAGACGTGGTTGGCCCAGAGCAGAGTCGAGCCAAGGGTTCGCGGTATTTGAAGGCATCTTCACCAGTGCGCTATCTGTGGAGCTGTTTAGGAAAAAGCGGGTTTAATGTTTGAAGCAATAAAATTGACATAATTTTTGTGAATCGAATCGATTGATGCAAACACGAACCGTCGTTGTTATGTCGGTGAATCCATGTTTACTTAAAAGATGACGAAAAATTTTAATCCACATTGTACGACACGCCAATCGACAACCGGCAGGACTTATAAGATTAACCCATAACGGAGGCGCGCCATAGCTCATCGGAGCATGGCTCTTCAGATGAAATACGAGCAATTTCACATCGGCTGCGGACTTCCTGCTTTTTTCAACAAAAAAATTTTTTTCAATAACTGTCAGTTTTAAAGGTTGTGAAATGAAAAGGTGGTATGTATGCTATTGTGTACTGTGTGTTACTGTGGTCCGTTATGCAAATACATTACTGTCAGCCCTTGCAAATATTTTGCATCCTGTGTTGTGACCATTTCTTTGTAGTCCTTCATCGACAAACGTTAATGCGACGTCGATAAAAAAAGAGCTCTATTTAAAATCACAATGCTCGCTTCCAACAAGACTGCAACTGTAGCCTCATCTTAACTGGGCTCAATGCTAATGTGGACTTGCCAGATCAATCCCGTTGTCGGGTGATTGCTGATGGCACTGGTAGAGAGGAAACCAGCTGAGAGAAACGCAGATCAACGGCCGGCGGAAAGGAAAATCGTGGTTCGATCTGATCCGCTGTCCAAGTTTTGCGAATATCTCGGCATCGCTGTGGATGTTTCGCTGTTTTCCCACCTGTCCCATATAACGATCATAGTTGTTAAAATTAAATAGCAGCCAATTGTTAATGAAATTACCAGCCAATGAACTTTTTCGAAAAGAGGTTTTTGTAAATCATCAATTGTAGAGAGTAATTTTTTCTGTTCTCACCTCTACCATTGTGATTTGGTTTCGATTAGCCATACATGCTTACTTGATACTTGAACGGCCCGTCCTCATTGGTTGTGCGGGCTCCAGCATAATCACCACTTCTCGGAGACTTGCTGGTTAAGCCACTGTGGTTCAATGGAGTCCCGAAGTCCGTCTGGCCAAAGTATGCTTCAGGTCTTCACCACCACGAGCAGTCGCAGCCCTTGTGGATCAGAGGGAGATTCGCCACCGTGCGACTTTGATACCAGGACGGTGGCGGATCCTGGTATTGGCTTAGTCTTAGCTAGGCCTCCTGATGGAAACGCCGGACTCCTTCTCAGCTTGGGAGGCCCAGCTGGGGAGACGAATCCCCCCGCTCTACATCGCAGTCCGACACCCAGGAACACCTCCCAGCCACGATGAGGCGGTAAACCGTTGGAAAGAGCCATATACAGTCAGGTAAAAAATCTCTTTATTAGTTAAACTGAAAATGGATATCGTCGTGTCTGCACAGTAAACTGACTTAAAGTATATGAAGACCGTATCATTCACACCGACCATTATGGGTTAATGTTTGCAATTGTGCTTGTATTTGAAGAATATGGATAGAAAAATGAACTAAACAACAGTGTACCTTTTTGTGTAAATTCTTCTTGAAGAAAGGAACACGTAGATCGCATTTAGCTCCAAATATTTAAAAAACTTTTAAAGTTTCATCAATAATCTTTGGTCATTTTACGAGTACAAGTGATTGCAATTCTTAACCCTCTCACGGTGAAGCTATTTATTCGACAATTCCTTTAATCAGATCCGCCACCGTCCTGATAACTTCTAGATTATTGGGAGATTTTAGGAGATTAGAACTTCGTAGATTTATGGAAGAGATTTTACTTTATTGGACTAATTGCATGTATAGTTTTTATACACTATGGCTTCAAATTCAGTTATGTCTAGAATTTTCGAAAAAACGAAAAAACAACCACAAATGGTGCTGAGCAACATGCTCTGATCCTGACACCAGTAGAGCACATCACTGAGCTCAGAATGAGACTAAGAATGATAGGAAACACCACTTTGTCCTGCTGGAGGAGATCCCGCCTCCCATTTGTTTTCATGTTTGAAATCTGAGCTTCGAAGCAACAAAGTTGAAAGAATACATGTCATGAGCTCCAAAATATCAGAATTTCATGGTGGTAAAGCGAGAGAATTTTGATCACGTAAACAAAGACGTTTAAAGGATAAAAGGATAAAGCTTTCGGCGTTGATCAATCCCTGTGGGATGCGCCATGCAATCGACTTCACTAGGTTTCGTTGGAGGTGATTGAATGTATATCTAATCTTTACAATGACCAGCGGTGGCCTACCGATGTATCGAGCCAGTGCTACTATCCTCCCAGATAAGCCCGTTACCAATTTGCCGACGCCGGAGGGATGGAAGGCTTTAGAAACAAAGGGGTTTACATCCTAATAACTGCAATTATCAGAACTCACAATGGGCCGAGAAAAGTTGATTTGAAATTGAATGCGGCTGTCATTTTAGCATCATATAACTCCTATAGAGATCCCACCGTTGCATATATGTTAAAGTATTTATTTAAATAGGCGACTTATCGTTATATCTTCCAGCACTTCTTTCATTCTTTTTCTTGCTCTGCAATCGTATTATCATCTATAGAAATGGGTCAGGTTTATCTATGGGTTCTGCTTCATGCTCAGAATCTGTCACTTTCTCACCTCGTCGATGTAACGGATACTAGCTGAGCTCGGCTGGTACTGGATTTTCCCTCAATCCTTGGATCCTCATGCCAGGACGTCCTCCTGTCTTCATCAAAGGCATTCACCGTTCTCTTTCGAATTCTTAAGGACATCTTGCCTCGTTTCCGGACTGCTAGGATTTTTTCAGGACACGGTGGTACTCATTGCGACAAGACAGTCTAACTAGTTGAAGACGATGTAACGGATCAAAGATGTTTAAATGCAGTGAGCTAGAAGTAATAAACCACGAATATTAAACTAGAGAATCTAGCAAGTCCAACAGAAAATTGTCAAGCTGGTATATCCAACGGAGAAAGACGAACCAGAAAGAAAAATGAACGACCATGCACTTTCTTTTTTATGGATGAGTTATTGACATCTCTTTCTTTACTCTTCTGATCCTATTCAAAATGACCGACCTTCATTGTAAGGACTCTCCTCAGTCGTCTTCTCTTTGTGACAGACGATCGATTGTTTATCAGAAAAAGAGGAAATACAAAAAAGAGCTTCCAAACATCTTTCAAAAATATATTTGTTCTTTTGAAGTGATTTTTCTCCAAAAAAGTCTCTAGTCATTAGGATCCTTAACCAGGCCTGCTTATTGGGTTTCACCCCAATGGATCTGAATAGCGTCACAATTTTCGTACGAGATCTTTCCTCTTTTCTATTTTGTTTTTTGTCTACCCCAAAATTTGCAGATTTTCTCAAAGTGTTTGGAAGGAAATTTCTTTAGAAACAGTATCGTATCACATTCTGTTTGCTGAAACGATCATATGCTTCATTAGAACTACTTTCCTAATTCATTCAAATGATTGGTTCGGTTAAAAAATATTTCAGCAAACTTTCTTCCTCAACATGTCGATTCATCTTACGCGCTTAATTGGACAGAAACAGAAATTCTTTTCTATCAGTAGAAAAGCCTTTTTTGAGGGTTTGTCCAGCGCCGAAATCCATGAACCTGTTAATTCGCCACGGCGAGCGCGTTAACGGGCAAGGATCTATCGCATATCATTCTTGTGATGGTCGTTTTCACGATGTTCTCTTGTGCGTATTTTGCCTCACACAGGTTCGGCTTTCGTATGGAACGTCAGCGAACGGTGGATCGTGTTGTGGACACTCGAATCGATCTTCTGGAATGGGATTCACCACCGACGACAAAGGAAGACTGTGCGGCTTGTCGTGCACTCGATTGCGACATAATCTTCGCATTATTGTTCACCATGGTTATCGCTTGCTTACTGGTGTTGATCATGATATTCTGGCTCAAAGGAGTACTACAATACGAGGAGTAAGCATAAAATAATGACGAGAAGATCCTGGATTTAAATACTGAGTAACTAATCCGTTCAAGAAAGGAACTGTCCGCTTTACTAAGTCTTGTAACCACATGACATCAAAATCATAGCACCGTACACGGACCTCTTTCAAATATGCAGCAGTTGTTCGTTATCAGATAAGAAGTAGGTAAGATAGAAGCACTTTAGAATGTGATCGTGTTTTTGACGAGAAGAATCCTAAAGGTGAATTTCAATTTCCACTTTTACCAAAGGAACCTACCGATAATTCTATAGAGAAAAATATGACGTTGCCGCGAAATTTACAGGTAAGTGGACGAGATTCGGAAGAAGGTGAGAAAGAACTTCTAACAATTTTTGTGGAAGGGAAATTGGCAAAAATTCTTTCCCTACATTTCTAAACGTGCTGCGAGAACTCATCGAGATTTTACTAACAAAAGCTTCTTCCAGTGTGTATACACGTTTGTCGCGGGACAGAGGCAACGTGTCAAATTAGAATTCGAACATTTCCATCTGGCCGGCAGCTCAGACAGGTGAGCTCGTCGGCTACGATCAAAAAAATTCCTAGCGCTTTTTCCCTGTTGCACGCGAACGTAATTGCTCGTTATTTTTATTACAATAGAAGGATTATTTGCTGTTATTATCCACCAATAGAAGCGGATATAGTTTATATTACCCATTCGTATGCTATTGTCAGGTGTGGGTAACTTCCTCCTGCCATTTGATTAGGACAACGAATTCGGTCGTCTCTTTGTTGAGGTTATGAAATTTGATGTTTTCATCGTTCATGCAGCCTATTTTGAACTAGTGCTACCTATCTGTTGATCCAAACGAACGGTTGAGGCAAAAAGCGAAGGTAACGAGCAAATCCCAGGATCGACTTTCTATTAACCTCGGCGTTGATCAATAATTCACTATTTTCTTGATGGCAAGATACGAGGCTGTTAGTGCAATATTTTTTCACAATGGTTGAAATTTCTACGGCTTCGCTTTCTTTAGAGCATGGAAAGGTGAAATTCACAGGAAATCTACTTGGTGGAACATCTTCATAATCTGAGAAGAAGAAGCTTGGAAGGGAATTTTTCATTCGCATAGGAAGCAGTTGCTTTTAAACATTCACCGTTCTGTTTTTCTAAGTCTTCCAGTTACCTAGTGAAGACCAGCAGCACAGTGTCAGGAACGTGACTAGCTTAGGTTAGAAAGAATCAGCCTGAGGTATGGCGCGAGGTCACGCTTGATCACAAGGTGCCCCTTGGTGCGGTCTATTCACGAGTTTTTGAAATTTATCCAAAATTCTTCAAGATTTTTGCGCTAAGATGGTTTAGATTTCCTGCAAGGACTTTTATTTTGAACTCTTCTTCGTTATGCATTTCTGCGGTATGAATGTTTAATAGAGTGTTCTATTTGACTTTAAGTTTCCCACTCAGATATCCTTTTATGGTCAAAATGGTCTACGCGTTTCCACAACTAACTTTCTTTTACGAGAGATCATGCGCACCGTGCGCGAACTAATGCACTGTCTCGTTTAAACGATGAGGTAATGTGGAGAATACCTATATTCAATGACTACGAAGCGGTAGCTCATCGGAAAAGCTTCGAAAACCCTGCCTAAAACGGTAAGTCTAGCGAGAATAAGGTCCTATATGTCCTGTCCTTTGTTCCTAAAGAATTAGGAGCGTAAATAAGACGTTGCTTAGGAAGCACAGAACTGGAGAAATCGGTAGTTGTCAATCAAATACGATCGAGCACTTTCAGGCGTCCGCTAGTTCGTAACCGGCCGACTATGGGAAGAGCGAAATTGCATTATTTGCCCTTATGGTAGAGACGATGATTGCGTGAGTTCGGGTACAGTGTACCAAGCCTCTTGTAAAGCATGTAGGGACGGGTTAGACCACACTGCGTTGGTACAACAGACTACCTAGTTGGCAAACTTAAAGTCAATAAGAACACTATAGTAACACTATAGTAGGCATGCATAGAACACGAATGCATGATGAAGATTTGGAAATAAAAATCACTATCGTTGCACTGGAATGGAAAACATCTGGGCGCAAAGCTTTTGAAAATTCTTGGGTATATTAGAAAAATCCAAAGACGAATCGCAAGGCGGAGTGCTTTATGATCAAGCGTGACCTCACCACGTAGTTTTACATCTTACTACTACTAATACTTTATTACATACACACTGGTTTTTTCACCTGATCCAAGCACATTCGTCGCCCATGTGAGACTCTGTGCGACTTGTCTCTACCAAATAACTGGATTTTGACTGCAGCCTCAACTTAACTGAGTTCAATGCCGATGTGGGCCCCCACAACAATTCCGTTGACGGGTGATTGCTGATGACACTGGCGAATAGAAAATTAGCCAAGAGAAAGGCAAAACGGAGGACGAACGTGGTGTGGTGGTGAAAGCGTAAGCCCCCGGAAAGGGTAATAGCGTGTTCGATCCCCACCGTAGACACCTGTGGTCCGTGAAAATTCTAGCATACAGGAAACAAAAAAGGTTAGCAAAACAGTGAATGTTTAAAAGAAGATGCATACTGTGCGAATGAAATTTATGTTTTAAACGTTTTCTTCTGAGTCTATGGAAGTTTCGAATCCGTGAAGAAGTCGAAATCCGTGGAATCGTCAGCTATCGTGAATAGACAGGGTAATAACGACCTCGTTTCTGCTCATCAATGAAAGAGAGGGGGAGCAAAGTCTGAAATGCAAATATACCGAAAAACGTATATCTGGTCCATACCAGTTGCCAAACTTAACCTCTAAGCAAACGGATTGTTTGCTAAATTTTCTAGGATACGTTAGAGGTTCTCATCTTTCAACATCACCACAGTGATAATTGCTTTAATAATAAGAACCTCAAAGCTCTTGATTCGAATATTTTTTGATGCAAATTTTTTAGAAGGTTGAGTTTGAGCTGCTAAAGTACATTTTTTCCAAACAGTGGAACCTTTAAGATATGTTTTTTCGGAGGCAGTATCTAAGGCAGTTCATCAATTGGGTAAGGATGGTTGGAACCATAATTCGACATTATGGTAGTGAAATATAGCTACTATAATGCTGAGATAATTGCAAAACTCCGGACCGCAGGTGTCTGCGGTGGGGAAGGAAATGAGATAAAGGCGAAACGAAGGACCCACATGGTGTGGTGGTGAACGCGTTACTCCCGAAAAGGACAATAGCGCGTTCGTTCCCCACCGCAGATACCTGAAGTCCGGAGTTTTGCAATTACCTCAGCATTATAATAGTTATATTTCGCAAATACCCTGCCGTTAAAAAGAATAGGCAGTAAATAAAAAGGTTAAGATTATGGTAGTGAATTCTCGGTTTTCCACTTTTCCTCTTCTTGTAAGTCTAAACCCATCTGTTCTGAAAAATTTCAGCGTATTCAGTTGCGAAATTGAGTATCTAGATATTTATTCGGAACTCGAGCGTGTTGAATATGACCTTTTATCGGCTTCACTCGGTGGCCGATATTGTGGTACTGTTTCCCCACACGTTAGGATAAGGTCAGTTGTTGTTTTGCAAGCTTCATTTGTTTTCTTTTGTGTCTTGTGGAGTACTTCATTTTTATCTAGAGAGCTTTAAAAAGCTTTTAATTTCTTTGTATTTTTGTTGAGCAAACGCGAGGTGTTATTATTCTTTATTCACGATTAAACTGACGTTTCGGCGGATTTCGCCTTCCTCAGAGCCGCTTGCTATGAGGTTTTCACTAAGTATGTCACGTAGAGACCAACCGCACAGAAATCACATGGAAGTATAATGTCCATTATGCCCATTATGTCCATTATACCTCCATGTGATTTCTGTGCGGTTGGTCTCTACGTGACATACTTAGTGAAAACCTCATAGCAAGCGGCTCTGAGGAAGGCGAAATCCGCCGAAACGTCAGTTTAATCGTGAATAAAGAATAATAACACCTCGCGTTTGCTCAACAAAAATACGAAGAATTACTTGATCAATGCCAAGGTTAATAGAAAGTCGGTCGTGGCTTTTAATTTCATTCTCATCGCTCCACCTTTCACATTATTGTAGTCTTCACCGTGTTCTTGTGCTCGTCTTCCATTCTCGTGCTCGTGATATTGAGCGAAAGTTCGGATTCCGTGGGAAATACTCATTCATACCAGATAGTAAGTCCCTTTATTAAATCTTTAAAAATTTTTAAATTTCGTATAAAGAAGAAAAATGGTCAATTGTTAGGGAGAGTTTTGGAAGTGGAAGGAAAACTATGTATCCAAACAAAGTTTTCAAATAGAAAGTTATCAGCTATCAAGTAGAAAGACCGTCCTGAGAAAAGTTTTTTGTATTGTGCGGCGTGGGTATACTAGTCTCTTCATATAGCATCGTCCTCTTCTTCGAAACTTGGTAGAAACTGTAAAACGGTAGGGAGGCTGCTTAGATAGAAACAGAAATGTCATCGGCAACGAAATTAACTGATGGGTAATTGGCTAGAAAGAATACGTGTTACCTTTTACCATTGGTTACTTTTTTTATGGCACAGAAGCACACTGACCAGAGAGATACTCAGATGCTTGTCCGACCACACCCCGCGTCAACCGAACCACTTGTTTACCAGGGATTGGGAGGTTTGTACAAGACTTTTTTGGGAAAAGCTTTCCCTGATTCCCAAAGGGCGGCCCCTGCTTTACCTGTTGCGAAGATTTCGGCACGCCGGAGAAAACTAACGCGAGCAGAATTGAATACCTTGGAAGAAAAATCCCTGGGGTAGCCGCTGAATGCATCCGTCTGATTGACGGTTTTCGTCTTCTTCATGACTGTCGTTGAACACTGGTTGAGTCGACTCCTTCGTTAATCCTGGAATAGCAGTGCTAGGACGTTCACTGATCTTCATCAGGGGCAGTCTCCACTTCCAGTTGATTGGAAAGAGTTGGTCCCAGTTGATCCCACTTATATATATATATATATTAGGGACGCATGTTGCACTGTGGTTAGAGGCGCACTGTAATGCACAAGTGCTCGTTGACCTGATCCTGTTCCTCTGACTTACCAAGCCTTCCATCTCTCTAAGTTGATAAGTTGATAACAGACATGTGTGGAAGGATACTGTGCTGACTTAATGCATCGATTGACCATCACAAGTCATGGCAAAGGTCAGAGATGTGTTCAATCACAACGAACGCTGCTCGGTAAAGTCAAATGAGAAGAAGTCGAAAGGGTTATCAAAATGAGTTGGAATTTATGCATATATATAGCATGTTTTCATTGAAATCATGGTTTTATTGTTTCCGTTTTTAGCTATATATCAGCCTGGCACGCCGCTTAGCGATGACGACGGATGCAGTTTTATCATCGATGCCTCGAAACGAAAGAAAGGTGCCATTTACTCACCAACGTATCCTGGCACTTACCCAAAAGTAATTTGATTTTTACGTGCTTTTTTCTTTTACCACTAATATTTGGATATTGTTGACATTCCTTCGGCCGAAAGAATATGACTGTCGACTTTTTTCTTTTTTCTTTCGTTTCCTTTTTTCTATTTTTTCTTCGACATGACAGGACACCTACCAGTCATGTATAAGGCAGGTCTGCCTAGGCAAACAACCAAAAACAGAGAACGTTTTGTTGGTAGAGCTATTTGACTTCAGCAACAAGCGTAAAAGCTTAAAAGCAATCGACGTTAATCATTCCCTGGGGAATGCGCTATTCATTCCACTCCATTCGTAGCATCATAAGGGTTATTGAGTGCATATCTAGTATACACAATATCATGAAGAGTTAGCGACTTATTAAGTCAGTGTTTTTGTTCTCCTAAACAGCCGAGGTAGCGGTTTACCCACTCTGGAGTGGTGAAGTTTGCTTAGCCCAGTGCACCACATTGAACCAACCATGTGTACCATTGCAGCGAACCTCTAGCTATTTCGTTTTGTGGGAACGACGATGTTTTCGAGAAGAGGAGAATGGTGACGGCCGTTACTATGAATTAATTTGTGGAAATTATCTCCGTTCATTCCCTCAAACGTTATTGAACGAACCACCTCACTTGTTTTACCAATTCTATCGTTAAATCGCTGATTGTTTTAGAATTTCCATTGCTCATATCTACTCACTGGAAGAACCGGCCAACGTATTCGGTTATTTTTCCGTGATTTCGATATCTTCTTTGGTGGTGAACAGTGCGTTAAACTTGTTTTTATCAATTTAGATGTTTAGTTCATGATAGTTATCATTCAGTTATAGGGCACATTTTAATTACAAAAAAAATGGATTTTTAAACCTAGATTTTTTTTCAGCTGTCCATATGACTCGTTAACGGTATTCGACGGTCCAATAACAATTTCACCAATAATCAAAAAGGTGAAGCATTTGGGTCTACTGAGCTACCGTTTGCTTTCTTTATGCGTTAGATTTTTGTTTTGAGGTCTGTGGTTTACAACAACGAATGGAACTGTATTCAGTTGGACCGGAACTTCTTATACATTTTAACACTACTAATCCGGCTAAAGGTGATCCACGAGGGTATGTTTCACACAAACTGCTTATATTTTACTGCCTATTAGAGAAATGGTCTCTGACATGTGAGCTCCTGTTAGTTCCTTCTTCTTACGTTCGGTCTTACAAAAATTCTTATTTCTTAGCAAGTTGAATGAGTTTAATACAGCTACAATGATGCCGAGATTTGTGTAAAACTCGGAGTCACAGACAAACTTCGAGCTCATTACGCTTCATGTGGGCTAGTGCGCTATCCACCACATCAACCAAAACACTTGCTTTGCATTTTTTCTAGCCGGTTTTTTTTTACTTTAGCTGTGGTATCAGCAGCTACTGGTCAGCGAGAATGATGGTCTGTAGCTTCAGCTTTACGTTCAATGCCGATTTGCGCTCTCCAGTTCATTCCTGTTGGCGTGCGATTGTTAATTCCACCGATAGAATAAAAAAAGTGGCTGAGAGAAAGGTAAATCAAGCGCCTTTGATCGCTGTTGTGGATAGCATGGAAGCTCCTGGAAACGGTAACAAAGGGTATGAAGCCCAAATGAGATTATGAATTTTGCTCATATTTCATCGTCCTTATAGTTCGATCTCACACAATGCTATGCATGAGAAAAAGAATAGGCAGTCAGTAAAGTTAAACACTGAATGAGTGGAACATTGGTGTTGCGTTCAGTCTGCCTGTTAATATGTGATTGGCGGTCGCCGTTAATGACAGGAGGACGAATTGTCTTTCAGCACCGGTGCTCCTTTTGCGGCTAACAGTTTATCGAGGATTCTTTTTGATGGTTATTTTCAAAACAACTTGATTAAACGAAGTCTATGACGTCAGAATCCGATTCATGGCACAGAACGAATTCTTGACTGATGATTGAGTGCGAGTTTCAGATATGTGATCGAGTACGAGTTTTCGACTCGTTTTGTTGACGTGACACAACTGTTGCATGGACAAAAGGGTGTCACACATATGCGTGGTACAGAATGCGATGTGAGAGTGGAGAGTAATCGAGAGACTAGTCATTATATCTACTCACCTAAGGTATGCATTGATTTATTGATCGATCTTTTCAGGGGATTTAAGTGTTTTGTATACAAGTATGAGAAGAATGCACTGGTATAGTAAAACAGTATTTTTAGATATCATGTAGCGAATCTTGACTAGAAAAGGGCACAGATCATTTCGGTCAACATTTTCAACTTTATCGATACTTTCTTCGGTCGATAGTTACCTGAATATCTATGGAGCGTTTTACACCGCAAATTACTCGAATATTTGCTTAATTACTTGAACGGTTTACTCCAACGAATCAAGAATAATCCTAGCACAACTTCCACTTGATTTAATAGTTTTGCGTAATAGTCTAAACTAACAACATAATGGCGTTAATTTCCTGGATGAACCAGATTTCCTTTAAGTGGATTTTTTTGCATGCGCTTGTAGCGCAGCAGTTAAAGTTGCAGTTGTAACATGCATATGGTCCGATGGATCGATGCCTTCGGCTAACCCTTCGACCTTTCGGTGTTGGTAAATTGGTGCTAGGCTTGTTTTTGAGGGGACAAACACTGGCTCGGGCGTATCAGAAGGCTTCGTAATTTATTTTAAAAGCTAAACATGCATTTAATCGGCTTCTTCATGCTTAGCGGAATCGAATTGGTGACACAAGAGAACCTCTTCAGCCATGATGAGGTGAGAACCTGTTGGGAGGAAATACAGCTAAGTATGAAATCAAGGGGTGCAAAATTACTATTAGCAAATATATTTATATGGGGGTTGGGTAGCGTTGTGGTAGTGATGTCATTCATTACGAGCATGGTTATTGGTATAACCACGTTTCAATTAATCCCATCCTTCCGGCGTTGGCAAATTGTCCATGTGTGAAGTATCCCGGGACTTCACCTGGCAAAACAAATAGAATGCATGAAGTGTTGAAATCATTTGATATCATGTCGTTTAAGAGAAGTAGAGTTGCATTCGTATGTAACAATTTTCTGTTGTTGCTAGTCGTCTTAAATCAAGAATAGTTCGTCGCAATGTTTCCTAAGTTACAATCTGCAGCCATATGACATCGAACTGTGGTGCTCGGACACTCAACAAGAGGTTGTCAGAACAGGAGAGACCAACAGACTGGTGTCACACTTGTTGAGTATTGATAACCTCATTGGAAAACTCTTCAAAGGATTGGACCCCTACGGTCGAAAGTGACAATGTGGCAATTGTTCTAAGAGTGGCACTTGCCGTTCCGCCACAGTATGTTGGCTTAATGAAGATGGAGACGAATCATCTCGAGTTTTTTCTAGGAGGTTTTGTTGCAAGTGGCCTACTTACCAGAAGTAACTGCTAGTTATATATCTCCAGCCAGGACGGCAGATGGAATGAACCGAGTTTTTATCCTGTAAACTATCGCACTTATATCGTCTTACAGTTGAAAAACATAAAAATATGGTTGCTAAGGTTTGGGAGATTTGGAGAAGTTATGAGCACTGGAAATGAAGACACTGTGAACCAATACTTATATTGACACCCGAACTGTAAACCTTCTTTAAGGGCGCCTGTGGCGTAGTGGTCGGAGGTGCCACTGCGACACAAACGTAGAATCGATCTCCGCGCCCATGGTTTACCAAGCCTTCCATCTCTCCGGAGCCGGCAAATCGGTACCAAACTTGTCTGGGAGCATAATAGCACTGGCTCGGTACCTCGGTAGGCCACCGCGAGTTATTGTAAAAGCCAGATAAGTATTCAATCACTCCTAACGATATTTAATGAAGTCGAAAGCATGGTGCACCTCTCAGGGATTGATCAACGCGCCCTTAAAGAGCTTTGTCCTTTTTATCCTTTAAGCCTTCTTTAACACTATCGCTAGTTTTAACGTTCATTTTTGCTGCCTATTTTTTGTTTCATGACAAGGTATGATGTGAAATGCGATCGTAGAGATAATGGGATATGAGCAAAACTTGGAACTTCAAGTGGGCTTCGAATCTTCGAATACACTCACCAGGAGTAAAACATGATATCCGCCGCGCCAACCGAGGCCCCTGCTTTGCCTATCTCTCGGCTATGCTTTTGCCCCGTCGGTGTAAGCAATCACTCGTGGTTTTTGGTACATTGTAGTATCTTTAAAAGGACCTTAATTAGACCTTAGTAACAATAGACAATAAACAACAAATTTCTAAATGATTGTGTTAACACGAGGTTGGTATGAAAACTTTTATATTGCCACGCTGCATGCCAATCAATAAACTACTGACTGCTCCGGGACACATTGCTACTGAAACAGCAGATCATATTGGGTTAGCGGCAATAAGTCAACGTCAGTCTTGCGTAGAAGGCACCTCCGAGTGAAGTTCTTCATTCACTTCTTCAACGGAAGTTCACTCTATTGGATTCGATTTGATGCACCTACGAACACCCTTCTAGCAAAAACTACCAGCTGGGAAAGTAAAAGTTTTTGTACCAACCTCGTGTTAGCTCACGCATTTAGAAAATTAGTGTGATTTCGACTGCAGCTTCAGCTTAACTGGGTTCAATGTCGATTTGTTCTGTCCAGATCATTCCCGATGCGACGGTTGACTGCTGAGAGCATCGACAGAGTGAAAAATTGGCTGGGAGAAAGGTAAAATAAGGACCGCGGATGATATGATGAATAAGCACGTGAGCCCCCGCTACGGTTAATAGCGAGCTCAAAGACTACCTGACTTTGCGGGTTTTGCTCATATCTCAGCATCCGTGCGGCTATTTTGTTTTATTTTTGTGTTGTTCTTTCCCATCTCTGGTAGTTAACAAAATGATCATATTACAGTATCCAGAGCTTTATCCCAAAAACACAACATGCTCGTATATACTTGATGGACTACAAGGTGATCAGAATCTGGAGAAGGTTATCCTGACATTTGAGGAATTCGCTGTACTTTCAGATGATCACAGGTCCTTTATCATGTTCAAGTTCATTTCCACCACAAACTTAGTTTCATTAGCACTTTTTTGCAAAGCAAAGAATAGTGGGGACAACAGTTCCCAAAATCGACTTTCTATTAACCTGGGAATTGCGTCATAGATATGTCGCTTTATTTTTCAACAATCGCGAAGTTGTTATAAAGCACACGTTTACTTCCATACAACAAGAACTCATACAACGCAACCGTAGCTGACGTTTCAGCAGTACCGTCTTCTTCAGAGCCTGGGAGGGTACACTGACATGTTACTTACTAGCCAAACGTTTCGACAGCACAAACAGAAAGATGAGAATCTGAACGATAATTGCACGATCAAGACCTTCTCGAAAAATCTGAAACCGAAAAAAAGCAGGAGTTCAGGTGCTAAATACCTGATCTCTTGCAGTACTTGCGGAAATGAATTTATTGGCGAAACGGGCAGACTTTTGTGTATCCGTATAAAAGAGCACATAGATAGCAAACAAAAACTAAGACAAGGTACGCCACCGGAGATGCACAGGATATAAAAGCATAGCGGAGACGATTTTGATATGAAAGTCGCTATCCTCGCATGGGATCCTAAAACACCAGCGCGCAAGCTCCTAGTTGCTTTTTGGATAAATGTCAAGAATCTGGGATGGATAACAGGGAAGAATACCCAGAGATAACACGTGATCTAGCCCCGTATCTTAGAACCGAGTTTTGATATGGGTTCTTCCTGATGGAAAGCAGATAAAAACGGCGTGTTTTTCGAGGTGTTGATAATGTAATTATCGTTCAGATTTTCATGTTTTTGTACTGTTGAAGCATTTGACCTAGTAACCTAGTATCCGTGTACCCTTGCAGGCTCTGAAGAAGGCGATACTGCCGAAACGTCAGCTACCGCTGTATTCTATGTGTTCTTTTTGTACGGAATTAAAAGTGTGTTGTACAATAACTTCGGGACTGCTGAAAGAGAAAACGACACATTTATAACAGTAACGATACTGAAATTGAAGAATACTGTACTTGAGTGGTTTAATTGTTGCTGTGTAGGGTTGAGCCATACGTGTAATGCACATAATCCTAACCATTGCGCTTCTTATCACCCGCTCACTCGTGCATGAAGTTCGAATCATAGCTAATTTTTCCAAGCTGTACCGTTTTCGAAAACCGACGCATGGATAATAATAATAACAATAATAATAATAATAATAATAAATGCAAACATAATAAAATATTATTCGTTGATAAGCTAGCAAGAGGTTGATAAAAATAGCCCAATAAAATTTTTTTCATCAACCTTGTGTTAGCTTATCAATGAAAAATACGATTGTCGGTCTTGTTTTAATGGAAGCACAAGGGTTTGTATTTTCAATAACTATGGCGCATCTTTCTTAGAGTGAATAGTAGTAGTAACCACTCGTATTGTTGGGGAACGAAATTTATTAATGGAAAATTTCTTATATCATATTTTTTGGGTGAACAAGAATTAGGTGATGGACGGAGCTCTAACATTTCCAGTATGGCCGCCACTAGTTCACCCAACATAGACGACATTGCCTGTCCGGTTGCGTGGGTTGGAGTCGCCATATCGGATTCCACAATGAGAGCAACACTTTCATCTACTGATGAGAGCAATTTCGATGCTACACTCTGCGAACGAATACCATCCAGTTAGTTTGGTTCTTTTCTTGTTGTTCTTTTTTCCAAGCCGATGATCTTGTCACAACTCACAGCTTCACCACTAATGGGGCCTTATGTGAGTGCTGGTCCACGTATGGTCGTCCAATTTGGTACCACCGACAAACTCATCACTGATGGCTTACGACCGTATGGATTTAAAGCCAAAGTGGATTTCAAAACAGGTCGAGTTCTAGAACATCATTGACGGACGTGTTTTATAAATATTTGTTACGCAAATTTTATCCGGATTATCTTAAGAGTTCCAAAAAATGATAATCAGGTTTAATATCAAGTGTTATTGATGGAGTGTCGGTTAAAAAGTGTGCCAGTTTGCTCGGAATTTATTGTACTCTGAAAATCTACGTACTAATAAAGAGATATGCGTAGGGAGAAAAATGGACACGTGGTGTCAACCGTGGATCGTGTTCTTCAAACTGACGCTTTAAAAAAACATATCGGAAGAAGTCTGCTAAGGATTTCTGAATAATGAAGTGCAATTCGGCATGATTGGATAGTGCTAGTGCTACCTTAATGTTGTAGAAACGATTGGGTTTATTTATCTGTTTATGCTTCACTTACATGACCGTGCTCTGGTATATTGTCCGTCACAGAACGTTTTCTCATCCGATTTTTTCCTCGTCTCAATCACCTACGAAGGTTTTCAGAACAGCTTTTAAATTCCGCTGTATCCTAAGAACTTCCAATTTTTTCCTGGAATCTGAGAGTTCTTTTGGAGGATGACTATTGGCCTTAGCGAATTGAATGGAGCATTTGCTGGACTAGCCTTCTACGAATTTGCTGACCCCGAATGCATGGTTCACTTCGATACTCTGGCGAAGTGACTGGCCAGTTCGCATGCTTTTATTACACGGCATCTTTAACCAATTTTATTCCATTACCTTTGTTAATCGAGTTTTTTATTGAGATTTCTTTTCCACATAAATGTTCGATTTTACAACATAGAATATGTATAATAAAAGCTATGAGGTAGCATTGATGACGTTGATTACTAGCAGCGTGCAGGTTCGATCCGGCACAGGCTCACCTAGCATTCCATCCCTCGGTGGTCTTCAAATTTGAGCAAGACATGCTTGGGAAAAGTTCACTCTCTTCAACCCAAGTGGGAACGGTCTAGCCTCACTATCCCAGGATTTCAGGGAGAATCGACTGGACCAGCATTCAACGAAACTTATGACGCAAGGGAATTCCTCAAGCAGCAGCCGAATCCACACGCGAAAAGTTCGAAGACCTTTGTGAATAATGGATACGAGGAAACGAAACAAATTCAAGAAGTGCTGGCATACATTAGTTTTAAAAGACGGGTCGTGTGAAATAAAAATTAAAAAAGCATAGGAAAATTAGATGATGCTTTCTCAACTGTATATTATGCCATGAACACGCGCCAAAAGAGAACGGCAGTTTTTCTATATGAATGTTTTCAACAAAAATATTTCATTTCAGATTTTGGTGTCGCTGGTGAATCATTAGGAACGTCAAACGAATGTCTGTTTCGATTCCGAAATCCAATGGGTTTCTTCAACAGCCCTAGATATCCGGCAAATGTAAGTACACTACTGTCGTTTCTTTCAGACTTCTGCAAGAAATGACAACTCTAACAGAGAAAAATTCTTCGTTTTCTCATATACATGCGGGAACTTAGTGATGTTTAATTTTGTTGAAATTAAGACTGATCAATATTGCCTATTTCCTTCTAGTATCCTCTTGACACGAATTGCACGTACTTCATTGAGGGCCGCGTGGGCCAGCAAATTCTCATTCATTTCGAGCAGTTTGCCTTATTTGGAGAGAAAGAAGAAGATCGGTCAGTGTTCTTAAAGGCAGCAGAGAAATTACCTTAAAAACTATCTTAGTAACGAGGTTACCTACTTTAGTAGGAGTTGAAGTAAAAATGAACTTTATTAACAATAAACACCCTAAATGCCGCCCACTCGCGTCATTGGTCATAGGAGAGCGAACTGCTCGCCATATATCAATAGGGGAAAAGGCGGTGAATACTTCAAAAAAGGATGCAGCTTTGTTGGTCTGGACGTATTGCTGCGTAGTGTTGCGAGAAATTGAGGACCTCCAACCAACGGTTTACATCCTCATCGTGACTGAGAGGTGTTCCCAGGTGTCGTTGTGCGATGTACGGCGGAGGGATTCATCCCCTAGGCAGGGTCTCCCAAGCTGAGAAGGAGTCTGACGTTTCTGTCAGGAAGCCCGCTAAACCAATACCAACATCAGGCTCCTTCACCGTTCTGGTATCAAACTAGTCGCATTGTGGTAAATCTCCCTCTGATCCACAAGTACGGCGACTGCCTGTGGTGGAGACGACCTGGAGTGGACTTCAGACAGGTTGCCTCGGGAATCCAGGGAACCACAATGGCTGAACCAGCAAAACTCCGAAATACGGAGAATATACTGGGGCCTACAAAACCAATGAGGATGGGCCGTTCAAGTATCCGAGTTAGTAAGTAAATGAGGATCACTCTCGCTGTGATCATCACAGTTTTTACTAACTGCTACTACGAACAGTTTTTCATGTTTTTATAATTCAAGATGTAATGATTGGCTCGAAATCTACGACGTATTCCAAAATGGCGATGAAGAACAACTCGTTTTACAAGGTAATCAGAGAAATGAACTGTTTTATTCAAATTATCTAAAATTAGAAAAAAACGCGTTTGCTGAGTTTTCAGCAATACCAGAACAGAAGCATAATTATTAGGAATAAAAAGTAAGCTTATTTTCTGTATCAGTTCTTCTCGTATACAGTCGCTATTGACGCTGAATGTTATTAGCACTTTAACGACGAGTGACCTGTTTAGGTTTTATAATGAAGTTTGCTGGAGTGGCCTGTATGAGACCTATAGATCTCATTAGTTTCTCGTGGTTTATTTTGGTAAGCAAAAACTTTTTCCCAGACTTCTTTTAATCAGTCGGTAGCTTTTTCAACGCAGATCTCGTGATGGAAGTTATCCATGGAAGGATGTTTTCTCAATAATTTTTCACTCAGTTTCTCATATCACGGCGGGAGACTATTGCAGCTGAAGAGAGTGGGCAGGTGGAGAGTATGGCCAGTGAAGAGGCGCAGAGATGCCTCTCCATCGAAGAACGACGCATGCTATGTGCAGCATCATTTCTGGCAAGCAATTCGTTGTCATCTAATTTTTAATCTTTATGATGTCTTTTGGGTATCGCATGCAACGAGAGGATATCAAAACCGCAGGGTAACTATCGTAAAATTCTTTGCAGAACTTCTACAACTCCAGTAAATTAAGACGAAATAGGACTGGATGGGGGATGATTATTTTTCTTCATACATGGGAGTTGTATATGTATAAAAACAAAGGAGGATGTATAGAAGAAAGTGGAGCGTGTATAGGATGAGAGAAATGGAGAAATCTTCTCAAAACTGAAAGAAAAGCCGATTTATAGGATAGAAATCGCAATGAAAGGGAATAAAAACTGCTGGAGTGGTCGGTGTGGCTTCCGTTAGTGTCGCGGTGGGCACAGTAAAAAAAAAAAATTAAGCGTCATCTACTCCGCAACATCTCCGAAATTAGGCGTCGTCGCGAAACTGTCGTATTGAACTGCACAACAAGCTGGAGTCGAGCAGTACGTTTCGTCTTCATTAGGGAACGACGAACGCTATAGGCACCTTTTTGGAGAGTCTTCACGTTTTCCTCAGTTTTCATAATAAATATCAGCAGTTCAGTAATAAGTGATTTGATTAAAAACTAGTAACCACAGTGGTGCTCAGCTATTTACAAAACTCCGGACTCCAAGCGTCTGTGGTGTGGATCGAACACGCTATTCGCCTTTCAGGGGCTAACGAGCTTCCCACCACACCAAATTAGTAGAGCTGAAAACTATTCTGGCTTTGAAAGTGATGTTATGGTATGGAGAATAGTAAAATAGATTAAAACGGGTATAAATATCCATTTTTTGAAGACTTTGGAAAAACACTCCATTGATTAGACTATCGTTCCATGAGAGATCAGTCTTACTGCTGAGTTCGAAATTTCATGAGTAATGAATGAGTCCATGAAACGATAAAGTCTGGACGACTGTGTTTAACGTCCTTGTCAGTTGTTGCTCCATCGTATACGAAAACATGGTGACTTTTCTATCCTATTAACCAGGCATGGTTTTATTTTCAGACAATTATAAACGGACCCTATATTCATTCGAGTTTCAGAACGCTATTGTTCGGATACGTTTCCTGGTCCAACCGTGTCAGCATTCGGTGCACATTCTATGCGTGTTGTGTTCAGTTCAGATTCATCCGGTACTGGAAACGGTTTCAAAGCACTCTATGAGATTCGACCAGCCGCAAAAGAGGACATTCCCACACACGGTACTCGAACTGCGATAATACTCAAAAGACCGACTTTCTCTAAACCTCGCCATAAATAGTTGATATGCGACAATAGTTTATTTGTGTAGAGACCCTTTCCCCTTTTAAATTCCGTATGTTTTTCGAAGGGATGTTTCCAGAAAGACTTTCTTGCGTAAATTAAGTGGCACTGATTGCTTCTGATTATAATTGAGGCACGCAACTTCAGAGACAACAGAACCACGTGGAGAAGGTGCTTACCGATGTGGGCGACGAATTAGAGCCAGCGAAAGAACACCTACCGGATATGTGATGTCACCGAACTATCCGATCAAATATAATAAGGATGTGCATTGCGACTGGGAAATCATTGCACGTGATGGGCACAAGGTACACCTACACTAACGGATTTCTGGGTTAAGAAAACGCCTAGCACTTCATAGAACTACTTCGTAAAGTACGATAATTGGGTTAGAGTATTCAGTGGTTTGTTACGGTAATTAGATATTTAAGGTGGGACTTATGAAAGGAAGTACTTGTGTAGCAGTATCAGTACTTAGTCTCCCAACAAACTCAATTTCGAATAGTTTCATTTATTCTCTTTTTATAGGATATTCACGGTGCAAAAATTATAGAAACTAGGCTATAGCCATGCAAACTACTTCGAAAAGTTATCGGTTCTCCAGGAAAAAACTGTAATCAAATGTTGTGAAGCATTTTTTCAGATTCTGCTTACAATGGAAAAGATGGAAATCGAAGGTGAAATGGCCGCAAGAACAGCCAGCTGTCAAAAGGTGAGCTATAGTAAAAAATCGTTGTAGTTGGTTAAATCCAAGGAATCGGTTGAGAATCACTTTAGGCAGTGATTCGAGTATCCGGGGCGCCTCGGCCAGAGTACTGTGGAACTGATCGAAGCGTCTTTACGCCAATTGTTACCAGAAACAATTCAGTGCGAATCAGGTACATTCTGATACAGAATGGCAAATAAACACATAAGAATTAAAGGGAACAAGGAGGCAAATCCAACATTGTAAAATAAAGCCACAGTTTATAGTATAGTGGCGGCTGCGATGGATGCACTTGCGTGGTAGTGACCGTTGAGCCGCTCACTACTTAGTAATAGTAGTTCAGTGGTGAGAATATTAGGTTATAGTAAATATTAGATAGTGTACGGACTATCGACTAGTTGTTGTCTCTGCTTGACTCTCGAAAGTGGATCTGTTTTGTGATCCTCTTATTTGGATGGTTCTGCAATATAGGTATTTACCCTTTGACGTCTGAGACGCTGTGAATTGAGAGTCAAGAAATAGGTATCGTAGTTCTAGGGTACTACAATTGATCTGTAGGCTATGATTGCCCAATAAACCAACGACTAGGGTTCCACGTGAAAGTTTGGCGGTTGACTTGCTCCTTTGAGTGCAGCTCCACGCAGTGTTGGTCTACTAGCTTGGACGAATTGTATTTGCTCGTTCTTCGTCACGCGGGTCTTGTGGTTGTTGTCTTCACAGCGTAAATCTCAAACTTGGGTAATTAAACCGTTTATACCAATATTATAATAATAACAAAAAGAAGATAATAAAAAACAGTATAAGTGGCGCGTTAATAACAGGATTACCAAATAAGCGTAAGACAATCAGTAAAAAGATACCTTAAAGTAGGAGAGTAGTTGTATTGGCTATTGTGTTAATCTGAGAGAGAGCTTTCATATAAAAGTACAATTCGACCTATAGAGGTGAAGAGCATATGGTAGCGCGGGTACCAATGGGACCAGATGGTTGCTGGCGCGAATGGCATACCGTAATTAGCTACCGTATTAGTAGTGAGGAATGTGAAGAGAAAAGACAATGCTTAAGCCAGTGAGGTGTTAACATAAAACAAAGCTACAGAATATTGCTTAACTCTTACAGATACAATGTCATGATAAGTATGTATACTAGGGAAGATCAGTGCCTGTCTGAGAGGTTTCCTACAATAAAGTACGGTAGCGCAGTTCTATGACAAGAGGTGAACGAAGATGGTATATGGCAGGAAATGAGATGGCGAGTGGGAGGAACTCCGACATGTGGGCCTCACCAGCAGACGGCGGTCCTTTTATACTGCTTCGGGGGGCGGGCAGATGGGTACTGTTGTTGACCCTTGCATCGTCCTCGTATATCACAATTATGGTGGCAAATGCATAAACAATATTGTGTTCCATCTGGTATTGAAAGTATATGATATTGTTTATACCAACGTATCCTTTATTCTTGACAACCTCAATTTGTGGGCAGATGCTGTTTATCGTTGGTGACCGCTCTTATTGTGCTGATAGATGCTAATTATAGTTGGGTGACCCGCTATCGTTGTTGTCGTTGTTGCAGATAATTCCTTGTGTCCCATCTGGCTAGACGTCAATCACTACCAGAAGATATATAGAATAAAGTTACTATAGAGGATATTATTTTCTACTAGATAATGTTTATTGGTCGACTTGTCGACACAGTTCTCATTAAGATCGAAGTGAAGGCGACAAGAAGCCATATGTTCACCTCATTATTTACATAGTTACATTGCAGAAGCCTGTATTTCAATCTTTAGAAGTCTTATGGTTTTTTGTACACATTTTTCCAGCTTCCTAACAAGCCCGGACAAAGTGAACGGTTTGAAGGGATTCAATATGAGCTGGACCGAAGTGCGCGAAGTAAAAGGTTAGTGGGACGAATTGAGCGGTGAAAAAAGAACGTTGGTCAGTTATCTGACTAGTCGAGATACTATTCTTCTCACGGTGCGCCCAAGTAAATAACGGTGCACCCATTGTCAACGACCAAGGGACAATTTGTCAAGCAGTTAGCAGGTGGTCAACTAAGACGGCAGCTGATCTCCATGAATACGGTGTTGTTCACGATTCCAGATTATTACAGATATGAATGAATGCTCGTCTTCATCTGAGTACATGTGCACGTACACAAAACTGTGTATCAGTTCAATGCTAAGATGTAACGGTGATGCAAATTGTGGATATCAAGACGACACCGATGAAATTCACTGTGGGCTCAGTTAACAATAAATCTAATCGGTCAAGAAAAGCATTATCTGTGTTTAAATGCAACAAAAATACAATGAACGATTAAGTCTAACTGGTTCTGTATGATTTAAGAATAAAGGATAAAGCTTTCGGTGTTGATAAAACCCTGAGGGATGCGCCACGCCTTCGACTTCATTAATCATCGTTGGAGATGAATGAATGCATATCTGGCCCTTATAACGACTTGCGGTGGCCTGTGATGTACCGAGCCAGGGCTTCTATCCTCTCAGGCAATTTTGATGCCAATTTGTCGACCCCAGAGGGATGGAAGGCTTGGTGGACCATGGGCGCGGAGATCGATTCCACGTGCTTGTCGCAGTGGGGCCTCCGACCACTGCGCCACACGCGCCCTCTTCTCAGAAGTATTCCGACAATCCCACAAATGCATTTTGAACTGCGATTACTAAAGGTTATTAGAGAATTTAGATAGTATTGCATTTTAACAAATGTTCATGGGATCAATGAAGCTAGGAAAAGAAAGCATGTTTAGATCACCTAGCCGATTTGTTACAATAGTTCACAGCAGAATGGTTTTGAAAATGAAAAATTGCTCGAGCTTTAGTATCACAAAGGCATGCGTTAACATTTTCGGATTCACCCTTTTCCAGAGGGATGTATAGCGCTGTGGTCATGGGTGCCATGGAATTACATTGTGGATCTGTTGCTGGTTCGATTCCGTGTCCCAGACTCACCCAGCCGTCCATGCCTCCAAAGTCGGGAGATTGGCACCAGACTTTATGAAGGCACAAAAAAGTCGCGGATCAAAGCGCCGACTTGATAAATCGATAGACCACCACAAGTCATTGTATAGTGAAGAAATGCATTTATTCGCCACATATTCCTCAAAAATTGATCAGGGCTAAAAGTTTTACCCATTATCATTTAATATGGAACGTTACGCTGATCAGTAGTCATTTTCTTACAATCTAACAATTGTGGTTGTCCACAGAAACTTCCTAATTGAACTACTTTAGGTGCACGACGAGAGAGTAGCACCGATAAGACAATCGTCATCGCCGGTGTGTTCTGCGGTGGTATATTTCTATTTATCTGTTCTTTCTTTTGCTATCTATTCAAATCAAAGCTGGAACGTAAGAAGAAACGTCAACGCAATCGCGGCTCGCGATACCGTCAACGGCAACCGTTCCGATCACAGAAACCCGTCGGAAAGTCGATTGGTGACTCGTAAGTGGATTACGTTTGAAACTCGATATATTATAAAAGATATATATATATATATATATATATATATAAAGCATGAAACTTGTATAATAGTAGTGGAAAATTTTGAAGAGTGGTGAGGCTATCAAACTGTCAGATTTTCTTCATGGAATTACAGCATAGGATAAGAAAAGTTGTAGCGACCGTCGTTTCAAACGAAATGCTGAATAAGTCAAAACTTTAAACCTAATAAGTACCTCATAGTTATTCGAAACCTTACGACTTTTTAAGATCCGGTCTCAGTTGAAGGCTTTCTGCAGCTCCATCTATCGCAATGGATCTTACAACAATACGATTCTTTCTGATCGAATTCTATATATTGCCTGCAATCGTCATAACGTTAGATGTGACACAGGAACCGATTTTTGCAAGTCTATTCAGCAGCAAGCCATGAAATCATTCGCTATCGATTCAAATTTAGTTACGATCTTTGGGAAAAAAGTGTTTATAGCAAAATTCCAAATATATGAAATACACTAAAATCTCACACATCTTCCTACCCTTCAATGAAAACCAATGAAAATATGGATTCCAGCGAACTGCCATCACCGGCGACATCACGATTCGTACATCATGACGCAACCGGCATTCTGCCTCCTATCACGCTGCATCCGGTAACTGATCAAGTCCAAACATTCTACGGATGATCAATCGACTTTATTAGTTTTTTTCTCTCTCCTCCTCTGTTTCTTCATCACAAAATATCAAATCCTCTTTCATGACGGGTCCCATAAACATTGCGCTGAGTTCCAATTTTTTATTTAAATGCTATTTAATAGAAAAACTTCGTATTTTTGAGAAATCCCAAACTTTTCATTCATTTCCCTTTTCATGCGGTGAACAACTGGTGACATAAATGAGACCGCGCTCTCACGTCACCTGTTTGATGTCATTGCATCAGACCAATAGGGGTTGGGAAGCCCACTAGTAATTCACTGAGGCTATAGAAGCGTATTTGAGGAAAATAGAGCCTACGATTGAAAGGATTTCTTTGACTTTTATATGAAAATGAAGCTCACTCTATTGCGTCGACATTTCTACATGTTTCACTCATTAAAGCGTAATGTGTATAACGTTTGAAAGACACGCTTATACTTTGAAAAACAGAGTTATTTTCGTTATTCATTTACACGTATTATTGGTATTGTAGCACATAGTTGCTTCGTTTTAGTCAAACAGTAATTCATCAAGTCGTTCGAGAGTCTTGTGTTACGGCAGTATCGCCTTCTTCAGAGCCTGGAAGGGTATACTGATAATCTACTAAGCCAAACGCTTCAATAACACTTACAAAAAGACGAAAAACTCTCTGGTAATTACACGATCAACAACTTCTCGAAAAACACACCGCTTTTTCGTGACTTCCAATGAGGAAGTTTAGAACAGCTGATTATAGTCGCATGTGGTTGACGACTGCACCATCCCACATCAAAAATCGATGCGAGCCAATGAGGAAGTTTAGAACAGCTGATTATAGTCGCATATGGTTGACGACTGCACCATCCCACATCAAAAATCGATGCGAACAGGGATCAGGTCGCGTATGACCTCCGGGCATTCATCCCTGCTATTCATTGTAGGGTTTTTGGCATTTATCCAAAAAGCCTCAAGAAGTTTTCGCGCTGGTGTTTTAGAACATCGAGTCGTGCCAAAGTCTTGTGTTAGTTCATTTGCGAGTTGAGAATTCGTTGCCTTCTCTTTTTCAACGAGAACGTGAATGCTTTCCAAGCGAGGAATCTCTCTACAGTCCCGAAAATGGGCATTCTAACGGGCCGCTGTCGACCAGGCTATTCACTGCTTCCTGATTCGACTAGGATTCTTCCAGGACCACAGTGGTTTCTGTCTTAACGGCGATTCTTTCTTCTAGGTAGTGATGTTGCAAGCCGAATTCTGCATGGCTTCATAAAACATCCGAATTGTAAACACAATTTAATACAATTTTAACTTATTGCTTAGCTTACTGCTTGCTCTTTTTAATGGTAGGGTATATTGCGAAATATAACTTCAGTGATGCTGAGATATTGGCAAAACTCCGGACCGCAGGTGTCTGAAGTGGGGAACGAACGCGCTATTGCCCTTTCCGGAAAGTAATGCGTTCACCACGTTCACCACCACACCATACAGGGCCTTCGTTTCACCTATCTCTCAGCTAGTTCTATCTATCTTTTTCCGTCAGCGGGATTGATCGATCTGGGGAGCCAAATTTAATACATAATTTGTGTCTCTCGGAAAAATACCAACGACTGATATTTGGAAGAAAGTTTCAGTAACGATCTTTATTGCACATCATCTTGGTGACTCTTAGGAAGAGGAGGAAGGCAGTTTTCATAAAAGCAGCAGATTGGAGTTAGGAGTAGACTCATGGAAAAAAAGAAACAAACGAATGCATAAAGTGCTTTGATACAATTGAGAAAAACAATTTCTGCCAAAACGTATAGATAGACGAAGAGATATTTTGAAGAAGTGAGCGATGAAATGAACTAGCAAAGTAGAAGACACGGAAACGAAGAAGAAAGGATGAAATTAAGTGAAAAAATGGATACGATGTGCTTAAATAGCGCGTATATACAAACAGCGGTAGAGTCTCTAGCTGGTGCCCTTTAACGTCTACAGTAGTCGATGGTGCAATTTATTGATCAACATAGAAATAGCTGGAATGTTCTGATTATTTCTAATAAGATACAAGGTTTCTTACATACTAATACCACAAAATTTCGTTTTTAACCAAACTCCACAAGTAGTTTTTCACTCAAGTCTTGTTTGTTTTGATTGGCGGCCTAGCAGTCAGCACAGGGTGTTCACAGAAGGAGGTCGCTGATGTGGCTATTTGCCGGGTTTGCGTTGAAAATCTCAAAAACCTTAACTTCTTTTGGATATTTTCGGAGTAAAAGACATCTCTTCAAGTCTGTTAAGCTGTGAACTCTTCAAAAGTCTAAAGTTTTCAAGAGAAAAATTAAAAGCGCTTGTCGAATTATTGTCCCAATATGTTAAGTGATGCGCATAATATTTAGTTAACTCTCCCAAAACCAAAACATTAAAAAACCTCCAAAGCGCTGACGATCCTAAGCAGCAACAGCTGCATCATGATAAGTTTGAATGCCTGAATCTAACCACAGTGGCTAGGGACAGGGAAGTCAACACGCGACGTATGCGCCGTGAATTCCTTTATACGACTAGGTGCATAAATACCGCTTATATTTTGGATAGATAGGCAACCATGGTGTAGGAAAAATGATATCGTGAAAGAAAAGAATGTGTTCGAAAATCATACACAGGCCGCAACTGTCGTTGACGATTTGTATGTCAGACCATGGTTAAAACTTTTTTGAAAAACTTTGTGACCAAGCATAATACGTAAATAGCCAAAAATGTGCTAGTCGTTGGTCGATTCTAGTGGCTTCTACGTCGACCAGTCATGGTCACGGCAGACTCTGTGATGTTGCCGTTTCTTTCATCTTCATATTTAAAAAGCTAAAAAGAGCGGAAGCGAATAGAAGGATAAGGCAGTAGAATGTTGGAATGTTATGAAACTGCTGTAGAAATCATTTTCTGTGCCAAGGAAGAATGCTTTGGTATTGCCGAAAATTAAAAATATTCAAAAATAAAAGTTAGTTTCGTATTCCAAGCAGACTTGCCACACTGTACTCAGTGACGATACTGGCAATACTTTCCCACGGTCGATTTGGATCTCTGAAATGAATATTCATACATTCATAATGAATGGTGAACGACATAACTCGAAATGAATGATGTTTGCAAAACTGCAGACCGCAGGCGGTGTGGAACGAACGCGATGCTACTCTATCCGGTGACTAACGCGTTGACCACTACACCATGCTGGTCCTTCGTTTCGTCGTCTGTCTCTGAGCTAGTTTTCCATCTATTAGCCATCAGCAATCGTTCGTAACAGCACGTTCGTTCTCTAACGCAGACCCTGCGGTCCGGAGTTTTGCAAAATTTCACGTAATAACCTGCCGTAAAAAGTTGCAGTAGACAACAAAAAAAAAGTTAACATTATTCATACATTGTTCAGTGGCTGTGATGAGTCTCTATATACAAAGTATCAATGAAAAAGCTTATGAGAATTTTCAAACGTCAGTGAATGCAAGAACATAAATATGTTAAAAGTCCTAAGTCGTACTTACCGAACTTTAGGTATGACATTGAGAATGAACTTTTCAATAGGTCCGCTACTGGAGCCTGAGCCACGGAAACTGCGATTCTCACTGCCAGGAACCCAAGTTGGCGGTGGTGGTTTGGGTAGCGGCTGACCGGAATCTGTAAAAGCTATAGCGTCTGCTATGAAAAAAAACAAGAACTGGTTAAAAAGTAAAAAATATTCCAGAAATAAAGTTTTTTACTAGGCAGTGTCTCCACGGGTCCACTTCATGTATGCGGTCCCAAGACTCACCCACAACCTACGTGGCCCGTCTTTACGTGATGAATTTAAGCGTTTTATTTTTTATTTGCTGTCTATCCTCTCTTGCAAGGTATAATGGTGTAAAATACCACCACAAGGATGCTGGGATATGTACAAAACTCGGAACCCCAGGTGAGTATCGAACCCGCGATTAACCCATTCGTTGGGTTATGTGCCGTCCATCACTCCAACCGAAAACTTGGCTTTGCTTTTTCTCAACGAGTTGTTTGCTCTAGCCGTGTTATGAGTAATCAATCGTGAACGAAATCGTTGAATTTATAGTCGAAATTACAGTGTTTTCCTTTTATTTACTGCTTTTCCGTTTTCATCGTACGGTACTATAAGAAATACAACTACGAGGGTGTTGAAGCATGAGCAAACCTCAGAACCTCAGGTCGGCTTCTTATTGTGACTGTGATAATGACTACCCTCTCAACAGTTTAGCGCCTCATCTTGGCTAGAAGGTGTTCCTGGGTGTAGGGCTGTGATATAGGGCGCGAGGATTTATCCACCCAGTAGTGTCTCCAAAGGTGAGAAGTTCCAAAGAAGAGTCAGGCGATCCCATCAAGAAGCTCAGCTAGGCGTAAACCAATACCAGGATCCATCACCGCTCTGGTGTCAAATTAGTCGCATGGTGAAAAATTTTCCCCTGATACACAAGGGCTGCACACTGCTTGTGATGGTGACGACCTGAGGGAGGCTTTAGCCAGACTAACCTCGGGATTCCAGGAAACCACAATGGCTAAACTAGCAAAACTTCGAAACAATGGAAATTATGCAGACGCACGCAAAACCATTGAAAACGGGCCACCCAATTATTCAAGTAAGCAAGATATTGACTACAATTTTAGTTTAACTGGTTTCAATGTTAATTTGTGCACCCCAGATCATTCCCGTTGTCTGTTGATAGCACTGTCAGAGTAACTATGTGGGTGTGGTGCATAGCACGTGGCCCCCGGAAAAAACGATCGCGGATTCGAAGCCTACCCGAGGTTTCGTTTCGAGGTTAACTCATATCTCAGCATCTTTGTAATTAATGAATTTGAGTTAAACTAAGATCAAACCAACCATGGATTTCCCCAGGAACAAACAACAATTTAAGGAATGTTTTTCCTTACTATGCTGCACGCGACCAGTTTACTGCATTTGTATACATGTAGACATATTGACGCATGGGAATCAAGACATGGGTGTAGATAAACTGATTATCGCTTGCATCTGAATTCGCCTAAGGGCAGCATAAAGTAAGGTTACTGGATGGTAGGTAGCTGCAAATGAGGTTATGGTCCTCTCCAGCAAAAAATCCTCACGTCTTCTCCAAGGAATTCCGTTGTCAATGAATTAAATGTGATAATGTACATTTCGATCTTGGAAAAGGTCATTAACTAGCAGATGAAATATCTAACGAATACATGAGTGGTACTTCAGATCGCTTCCAAAAAATTAGCGTCCTCTCTAAAAATTCTAGTGAGCTACTGATGGCAACACTCTTGCCTTAAAAAGAGTGAAAACAAAAGCCGCTGGAAAAAAAATACGATGTTCTTTGTGTCTATTAGCAAATAGAGCCGAAATACCAGTTCGAGCATGTGACGAAAACCGGCGACGACTTTGGTGGTGTCTAATGAAGCTAGTCGATAATGAGACTGGGGATGAGTTTAACCACCCAGTTGTGTTCCAGCAGGCTGTTTCCCTCTTTCATTGTTAGTTCGAACACAACGAATACTTGATATTTGACAGTTGAATGGCCCATTCTCACTGGTTGTGCTGGCTCCAGCATAATCTCCATTTTTAGGAGATTTGCTGGTTAAGCCATTATGGTTCTCTGGAGTCCTGAGGTTACCCTGGCCAAAGTCTGCTTCAGGTATTCATCACCACGGGTAGTCGCAGCCCTTGTGGATCAGGGGGATATTTGCCACCATGCGACAAGTTTATACCAGGACGGTGATAGATTCTGGTATTGGTTTACTCTTGGCTGGGATTCCTGATAGAAACCCCGGACTCCTTTTCAGTTTGGGAGGCCATGCCAGAGACTGAGTCCCCCGCTGTACATCACAATCCGACACCCAGGAACACCTCCCAGCCACGATGAGGCGGTAAACCGTTGAGAGGCACAACGAATATCTTAATAAAATTAAGATATGGTAGAGGTGAAAAAGAAGAGTTGGCATAACGAAATACCTTGAATATACCATAAATGAAACGCTGTCTCGTAGTTCAACTCCGTTGAATCAGATATAATCAGCACCTCTGCCTGTTCTGATAACACTTGAATTTCTGGTCCGTTGCAACTGAAAGTATTTCAACTTCATGAGTGAGATCGTTGTGAATTTCATGCATGATCGAAATTCAAAATTCCTAAGGATCAGCTACCAGGTTCGAAAACCAGTTTGTTGAAAGTCTGAGTTGTGTTTGATCTCAACGTATGCTTTACAAGTTGTCTCACATCGGTAGCTTACATCGCTCAGAATAAATCGAATACGAGCGTTTGTCGCCTGAAATTCTTTATTAAGCCTTTTCTTCGCATCAGAAAGCACTTCCAGTTGTTTTCCCTTGTTGTCGTTTTCGGCTCAGCAGATTTAAGTTAAAAAGGGATTGCTACGAATTTAACTAGTGTTATTCTCGGCTCACCCGGATTCTCCAGTAGCACTTTTTCTTACCGCGATGACTTAATTCTTGCCATAGCGGTGTTGCTAACAGTTCTCCACCACATCCGACTGGAATTACTACAAAGTATAAAAGGTACTTGTTATATAACAATAAAGAAAATGTACCCTACGCTAACCTTGTGGTATTCCTTCGCATGTTCGACCAGCTAAACCTCTCGGACATTTGCATTTCGTACAGTTGTTCGGATTAGCGTAGCCACCATTCTGACATGCCAGTGGTGGACAGATATCTACAAAAATTCCCATGTAATCTGATTACTGGAAAAGTAAATTAGAACTGTTATCGTTCTGAACAACAAAGTCAAATCAAAGATTAGAAATAATCAAAAAGAAATTAAACAACGGTGACATCAACTTATCAATAAAGGATAAGGTTCCCAACACAAACCAACCTCTTAAGGAAGCATTGCCCAGCCTCGCCCACCCAAAAAGGTTCTTATAAGCTATAAGCATATCAGTTAGCTTTATCCATTTATTAGGTTGGTACATATGAAATGTCCGATTTTGCTGATTTAACTTTCCGTGTAGTTTGTTCAAATACAAATTTTGTTCTTTATGTAGGTTTAATATATATTGTTGAAGTGCAAAGGTTGCTCTTTCCATACCTAGTCTTGGTTCTATATGAACATATAGACATAATTCTATAATATATGAACATAATATCGAAGAGGTGCGGATAGAAGCACCTCTCGCATTCGATATGTTTCCTGTCACCCATCACCCACAAAGTTTCTCGGATTCGGTTGCAGGTTCGGTTCCCGCTTCAATATGTTTGTTGCAGGGCCAACCACTGCGCCACACACGCCCAAGCTCAGAAGTTAGGGGCGGAAAATAGCCAAGCAGTTGTGTGCAACCATAAGGATAACATGTCCAAATTGTTAAGGATGGATCTCAGAAAATTAGAAATATATCTGTGAAAATAAGAATTTTAGGTTGTTTTGGTTAAGAAATGGTGACTTTCAAATACGGTGACCATATAAGAAGTTCGCTGTGTTGTTCAGCATACTTCTCATCGCTAAGTAATCATACAATATAACCATAAGGATACTGAGATATGAGCAAAACAAGGACGCTCGGGAGGGCTTTGAACCTGCCAATATCCTTAACAGGGACTCACGTGCTATCCAATACACCAGCCTAAGCCCATGCTTTGCCTTTTTCTCAGCCACTTCTTACTCTAACGGCTCTAGCAATCAACTAGAACGATCTAGGAAGCGCATATCTCAGCACTGTTGTGGTTGTACTTTACATAATACCCTACTATGAAAAAAGAATAGGCAGTGAACAAAAAAGAGAACATATTCATGCAATAATTCTCACCGTTACAATAAAGTCGATTCAGTTGTTTCACATCGATGAATGACGGCTGAACCCGTTGTCCAATTGTTCTTTGGTAATTGGCATCATTGGTACGTATTGTAATTTCATCCCAGTCCTTGGTGAATGCCTAAGTAACGAACATCTTTTTAGTTACGTTTTACGAAAGTGCATTCCCTTATCGAAAACCTTAGAGTAATTCCCATGACCGACTTTCTGTTAACCTCGGCATTAATTGATAATTCAATGTTTTTCATCAATAAGCAGACACGAGGTTATTAATATAGAATTTATTAGAACACAATTGCTGACGTTTCGGCGGTTTCGCCTTCTTCAGAGCCTGGAAAGGTCAAATTGAGATGCGATCTACTCAGCCAAACACTTTCATAACCCTAGCAGATAAAACTTGATAAATCGA